AAAAAAGAGCAAATAAATAAATAAAATAAATAAAATAAATAAAATAAATAAAATAAATAAATAAATATAATGATTTACCTTACCATGTAGGATATATCCATCAATATTGAATTGAATAAGATATTCATTAAATATAGACATATATAATACATAAAATAGGTACAAATACAGGAAAATAAGCAGGAAAAAAAGAATAAATAAATAAAATAAATAAATAAAATAAATAAATATAATAATTTACCTAAAGATGTATTATATATCCATCAATATTGAATTGAATAAGATGTTGATTAAACGAAAAAAAACTAGGAAATAAAATAGGTAAAAATAAATAGAAATAATAAGAAAAAAAAGGGAATAAATAAATAAATAAATAAATAAATAAATAAATAATATAATTTACCTTAACATGTAGCATATCTCCATCAATCTTGAACTCAATAAGATGCTCATTATGATTCTGTGTAAGAATTAATTCACCAGATGTTAATGGTCCCTGTCTCCATACTTTTTGTTGATTTTGTATTTTTACACACATAAGACCATTACGTATATTATTCTCTCCTTCTTCGCTACCATCACCCATTAAACGTCCTAATTTCTGTACATAAATATAATATATTATATTATATTATATTTATATTTATTTATTTACTTATTTATCATCAAAAAAAGGGACAAAAAAGAAAAAAAACGCCATCTTTTTATCTATTATATACGCATATTTATATCTATATATATATGTATATTCATGTATATCTATACCTATATATATTTATATATATGTATATGTTTGTATATATTTATATATATAAATATATAAATGTATTTATATATAAATGTATTTATATATAAATATATGTTTATAAGACTATGTATACGTTTATATATGTGTATATGTTTATATGTATATGTATATATGTATATCTATCTGTGTATATGTATATGTATATGTATATGTATATGTATATGTATATGTATATGTATATGTATATGTATATGTATATGTATATATGTGTATATTTATATGTGTATATTTATATGTATATGTATTATAGATAGGGAGACAACAGAGAAATACACACAACAACCCTATTACTATTATTATTATTATTTATTAATTAATTTATTTATTTAATTAATTAATTAATTTATTTATTTATTTATATATAGTCTTACAGCAAGAGGAATATTATGATATAATTTAGTAAAAGAATTGATGGTGTTTACTCGACGACGACTCTCTACATCCTATACAAAAAAAACACAAACCCTAAACCCTAAACCCTAAACCCTAAACCCTAAACCCTAAACCCTAAACCCTAATATATCTTCATAAAGAGTAATAAACCTTAATAATACACCCTTAAATAAACCCTAATAAACCCTTAAATAAACCCTTAAATAAACCCTAATAAACCCTTACATAAACCCTTAAATAAACCCTAATAAACCCTAAAATAAACCCTAAAATAAACCCTAAAATAAACCCTAATAAACCCTAATAAACCCTAATAAACCCTAATAAACCCTTAAATAAACCCTAATAAACCCTAAAATAAACCCTAAAATAAACCCTAATAAACCCTAATAAACCCTAATAAGCCCTGTCCCTTATTACATACCTTAAGGAATAATTTACAGACTTGTACTCTTATTTCTGATTTCCCCGAGACAAAACGATCAAAGGCAGCATCGTCATATGTTGGAGGAGCAGCAGGATCAATAAATCTTGGGGCACCCCATGTAAATAATTCACAATATGCTTCCTCTGTGTCTTGTTGTAGTCTGTATATATATATATATATATATACACATATCTATATATATACATATTAATTAATTAATTATATTAATTATATTAATTAATTATATTTATTAATTATATTAAATAAGAACAATAAACAAACAAACAAACAAACAAACAAACAGCACCGCCACCATCATCACCAGCAACAGCAGCAGCAACAGCAGCAACAGCAGCAGGAGGAGGAATAAGAATAGGGAAAAAAAAAAAAAAAGACATACTTATAATATTTATCACTATGTCTTTCTTTAATAGTTTGATGAATAGAATCATCAAGTTTAATACCGCTAAGTTTAGAGGAAAGAAGAAGAAGAATTAATAATCTATCTGCGCATCTATTAAGAGAAGATGTATTCTGCGGTGTATGTACACCTAATATCTGACCACGTTGACGAGATAAAGATAACACAGCTTGAGACATTATTCTTATTGCGTCCTGGTAGCGTCTGTATACACATACATATACATACATATATATTTTATTTATTTATTTATTTATTTATTTATTTTATTTATTTAGTTAGGTAGGTAGGTAGGGAGGGAGCGAGGGAGGTAGGTAGGTAGTTGTGTTTGTATACAATAGCTGACTGACTGATTGTATTGCTCAGTAGTATAATCTAGCTAGCTAGCTAGCTAGCTAGCTAGATCTATGGCTAACTAGCTAGCTAACTAGCTAGCTAGCTAGCTAGCCAT